GAGATGACACGTGGCACAATTTGAGAGGATGAAAATCTTATCAAAAATCTGAGATTAATTTTTTTTTAAAATATCTGAAAATGTTATTTGACATTTGACACGTGGCACAATTGTAGAGGGTGAAAATCTTATCAAAAATCTGAGATTAAATTTTTTTTAAAATATCTGAAAATGTTATCTGACATTTGACACGTGGCACAATTGTAGAGGGTGAAAATCTTATCTAAAATCTGAGATTAAAATTTTTTAAAAATATCTGAAAATGTTATCTGACATTTGACACGTGGCACAATTGTAGAGGGTGAAAATCTTATCTAAAATCTGAGATTAAATTTTTTTAAAAATATCTGAAAATGTTATCTAACATTTGACACGTGGCACAATTTTAAAAGGAATTTTCTTTGAATAATTTTTATTAAAATCTAAAATACTGAAAATTAACTACGAAACTTTAAATGCCGTTTTGGAAGGCCAAACGACCTCAAAATGCCAAAATCCATCATACGTCACAACAAAGTGGTGAGTTTGACTCGTGGCGTCGTTCCCTTTCCGAAATGGTATTTTGCGTCCTAATCAGAGCTCGGACGACAAATCTGCAAATTCCCACTACGTCCTTTTTCTAACTCAAGCGATAAAATCTGACATTTGTTCTACATCAGACGTGGCACAATTTTAGAGGGTGAAAATCTTATCCGAAAATTTAATTACAAAAGATTATCAAAATTAATGGTTTAAACTATAAAAAAATTGAAAAAAAAGTACAATGAATAGTAATTGCCTTAGACTTGCCCTAGACTTTGCCCTTGTGGGTGGAGATGCTCTAAGCGTTCGCGTTTTTATTAAAAACATATACCATCCAACTATCTCGCATGAGTTGATCCCATGAAATTATAACGTAATGTAACCCCAAATAACATAAAACACACTCTCTATGTGAAAGAGTTTGAGAAACTCTTGGGGGATATCCTTGTGAGTATAACCTAATTGACCAAAAGAAAAGAAAAAAAAATGTAAAGATTAATTTGACCGCCGCCACCCAATTTTGTAACAGAAAGTAATATTACATTACTTGAGAGATGAAGTAGGAATTTGTAAAGATAACGGGTCCCGGAAGTAAATATGTAGTAAGACAAGGACCTATAAGGAAAGGAAAATGCCAATAGATAAACGTAGCGGGCCTATACTATAGGCCTTTATTTTCTGTTGAAGAAGAAAGGAATTCAAAATTTGAGAGAGAGAGAGATAGAGGTGTTAAGGGATGGCAACAAGATCAAAACCAGGGAATACGAATATGAAAGGTTTCTACAGGCAAAGGAAAAGCAGTAGCATCGGCGGTGGTATCTCCAAGAAGAACAAATCTCAATCGACCGCTCACCCAGCTGCTGCCTCTTTCGGCTCGGATGTCACCCAACCCACCGCACTTATGTCACACGCTTCTGTTGACCTCAAAGGTCCATCTCTCTTCTTGGTTTGTATTTTTCAGGGTTTCTTTTCTTTTGTCTGAATATTCGTTAGGGTTTTCAGTACAGCATTTTCTTGCGATGCATTGTACCCATTGCGTTGCCAAATTCCTTCTTATTCTCCGTTTAATTGGGCGTCTCAACATTTAGGCGAGTTTTCATCTGAGAACTAAAACAATAGAATTTGGTGGATGATTCATTAGTTTTATATAATTTGATACAGATCCACAAATTACACCTATTGTTGGTTTTACTTCGCATATTATTGTTGTCTTTATTTGAATTGAAAGTTTGAAACCCCAATAGTTCAGAGTTATCGGCTATATCAATTTACCTAACGAAAAGAGTTGATTGGTTGCATTTTCTTACTGGGGTTAACAGGATCTGTCCTACCAACCCAATAGGTATGCTGTTAAATTTTTTGTATACCTAGTCCATGCTTCCGGTTGAGATTTGGTATGTGTTAGATTTTATTTTATTTTTGTTTTTGTTGTATTAGTACATTGTTATTATATACATAACGGAACGGTACAATTTATATGTATCAATTAAAGAGGGTTCATATTTATATACTTACTACAAAAGTGGAATTTCCAGTGTGAAATATAACACAAGGCGGGATTTGATTTCGGGTGTATTGAATGAAGTCAGTTTACATAAGGGGGAGATGTGAATTCTTGTTTCGAATTCCAAAACGGTTTCTTTTTTAGGAATAGAAAAATTCACTTTTCAATGTTTCTTTTGAACTAATAAATCTTGTTAAGATGTCTTGTATTTGTTAATAAACTGTTTTCTTTTGTTTTGTTTTTGTGTATATTCTCAAAGTTTCTCCACTGTTGAATCAAGGGTTAAGGAAACCACATCTAATTGCATCACTAAACTGGATACGGTTTGAGTAGTGACAGATTTTTCTATGCAGTTTTATTTTTGGGTTTGACGCTTTTTCTTTTTTGGTTGATAGATGATTATGCTGAGCAAGAAGAGCTGTTGAGGCAATTTGATATGAACATGGCATACGGACCCTGCGTTGGGATGACCAGACTTGAAAGGTGGGAGCGTGCTTGCATTCTGGGTTTGAACCCTCCTAAGGAAGTCGAGAGTCTTTTGACGGGTGGCAAAGTTTGCTGTGCGTGCTTGTGGGATGGTCGCATTTAGAAATTACCCGGATTTGTGTATTGCCCTTGTCTAATGTATAAGGTTAAAGGAAACGTTCAGCATCTGCCCAAAACATGTTTTTATAATGGACTGAATCTCTTAAATCTATTTTGTGCACAAGTTTTAATTTATAGTGCTATTGATGCCTAACCTTATATATTTGAGATATTTAGTCATATAGATCAACTCTACACCATGTAATTTCTATAAACAAACTCCAAAAAAACCCAAAAAATGACAGCGGGTCTTATTGAATTTAATTTCGATTATTAAATTATTTTAATGTCCTATTGAGTGTTATGGGGTTGTTTTTTTAATGAGTTTTTGGGATTGTGCTTGAATGGTGAGGTTAATTCCTTTTCGGTATTTGGCTTGTCTCTGGTCACAAAGCGCTCCCAACTGGTTTCAAACCTCTGCCATTGAGGCATCAAGCAGTTCGCCAGTTGGAGGTGGCAATTTGTCACATCTTGTGGTTAAAGGGCATTGAGTATATTTTTAAAGTCTATTTCATATGAGGGTTTTATAATTTGAGTTCATACGTTGGATATAACAGTGAATCTTCCTATAAAAACAGAAAAAGGGGTAAGCTTCCCAACGTGCGTTCCAACTTAAATGGAATAGAAAGCCCAGCTCATACGACGTCGTTCATAGAGAACTAGAAAAAAAATACGCGTGCTCTGCTCTCTATCCTCCTTCCTCACAGCGCCGTTCCCTTCGTCCTCGCTCAACACCTCACACAACCAGAACGCGGCGCCTCAAGAGCTTGCTGCAAATACAGGTACGCCATCTTCTTTCCCTTTCTATGGTGAGGCTGCGAGATATGTTCCAAACCAAGCACAAAATTTTCCAGATATGTTTAAAAATAACCCCTTGCCGTATAGACGACCATAGCGATGACCGTATCGGGGAAGTATCCGTTGGTCAACATGAATTCAACGATACGTCATACGTAAGTCACCGTATCGGGCCGGAATCGTATCCGATACTCACATACCCCTCTTTGGAGGCGTATCCAGGGTTTAGGGTTTCACCTATACACAATTCAGAGTCTTTCCCCTCTCCGTCACTTTAGTCCCACTTGCCCCAGCACCCGATATTTCTTTAACCTTTTTAATTCTACAGTCCTTTCATCTGCTCTACCCAAAATCTCCTATTTTTGTGAATTAGGGTTCAATTGGCATCTCTTTGTAATCAACAGATCAGAGTACAATCCTTTTGCTGTAGGTTTGTCTCTACACGGTTTACCAGGCAAGTCTGCGCCCAAATTGCTCGACTCCCCCGGTAATCTCCCCCTCCCATCTCCTTCATATTCACCTTGCAATCTGATGTACATGTGTTGGTCCTACCTCTAACGCCAAGCCCATCAACTGAGCTTACTACCCTTACGGTGGTCCTTTATTTCTCTGCAGACCCTGGATAACATATCAAGATTGAGAACAAGAACAACTGTATTATCATGTTCTAAATTGATATTATTATTTTTTTCCCTTTTCACTATGTTCGGTTGACAAGTGCTGTGCATTCTGTTTACAGGTGATTGCGGATGGCGGAGGTAAATTTGAATAAAAACGTCCCTTTCGAAGAAAATGAGACTTTAGCGCCCATAAATGGCAATGGCAATAAGGAGGCCGCCGAACAATCTAAAACTTTGCAAAACGATGAAGATGACGACAAAGGTGATTTTTTGATATCAAAATAACTGCCATGTTACTCTTAGAGCATCTCCAATAGTAAACTAAACTCTTCAAATAAAAGTTTGTTGACCTATGTGGCAATTTGAAAATGTTTATTTGCTACTTTAATAATTTATGCCCAACAGACTCTTCTATTCAATTAATGTAATGTTATTGAAAAGAATGAAAAATATGAAAACATGTGAAGCTTTCAAAAGAGACGTTGTTAAATTACCTAGTCACATTTATATTTGGAATTTACCATATAAACAGGAAACCCCTTTGCATTTGTACTCTGATGTATTCAAGTTATAATTGTACTAAATCATCAGTTCCTCCATTCCTTAAGTAGTTCTGTATCAAAGAATCTAAGTGGTGGTAAAATCCGCTTCCCAGGTTATGAATTTGATTATGGTGTGCCTACCTAATTAGAAATGAAAACTTTTGGCAAATGAAATAATGTGAAATTTAATTAAATTATAAGTAATAATTTACTGGGGCATTTTAATGTGTTTGTAATGTATGAAGTTCTGCATCTCACACCCTTCTATCTTTCTCTCTCTCTCTCTCTCTCTCACTCACTCTCTCTCTCGGTTTTTCTTTTGGCAGACATTGCAAAGAAAAAAAAGAAGAAAAGTAAAAGCAAGTAAGGAAAATTTTATGGTATTACTATATATATTTGTTTTGTTTTAAACGATTTCACTATAAATTTTGTTACTTTCTTTTCTTATCTGCAGGAAAAAGAAAGCACCGCAGGAGCAGACTAATCCACAATCTATGCAAGCGCAGACTGATCCACCATCTATTCCTGTTGTTGACCTGTTCCCATCTGGGGAGTTTCTTGAGGGTGAAATTCAACTGTACAAAGACGAGTGAGTATATTGTATTGCTCATGCAATTTATGGCACTTATTTTAAGGTTTTTAGTAACTTTGGTAGGGGTATGTGGTTCAACATTAGTTCAATAGGCAATCCTGCTCTGGGGCAATAATTAACCCAAATGTCTCTAGTACCATAATTAAGAAGGTACCTGTTTCTTGACATGGAATCGTGGGGAAAACTGGGATTATTTATGGCAACGTTTGATCTGTTTCTAGTACCAGCTGAAGGTAATGAGAGAAAAGTGAGGAAAGGGAAAAGTTGTAAAGGAAATAAAGCGAAGATGGAAGAGGGAATTGAATAATTTAATTGAAGTCTGATGTTATTTATGAGGGGAAGGATGTTGGCAGAGCAGGGTAGAAGCAGTTAATAATGAGGTGAATCAGTTGGAATCGACTTGGGAAGTCAAAGGAAAAGAAGTCTTACTAATGAGGCTTTAGTGAGGCTTCAGTGAATCCAGTCCTTGGAGATTTATCCTTTTCTAGTTTGGTAGGATAATGGTGATATGTGAGCTTCTAGAAATGTAGCCGATGTTTTTTTTGGGATTGCAGGATAGTCTGGGATTTATTTATTGGTATCAAGGGGAAGTTGGACCTCTTGTCCACTTTTTCTTTGTATTTTGTACAATAGTTGGTTTTAAAGTAAATTTGTTTTTCATAAAAAACATTTGAAGGCTAAAGCACCCTCGTAAGGTGCACATTTTTTGCTTGGATACTTGCTCGTGGTAGAGTTAAAACCTATTATTTGATTCAAAGGAGCAGACTAAATGTCTCTCTTCAATAGTGCATAATGCTTAAAGTGCGGATCATCTGTTTTGTCACTCCTGTATAGCTTTAAGATTGTTTCTAGAGAAGTTAATTTGAGTTGGGTGATTCCAGCTGTATATTGCCCTCTTTTCGGTGAGACGCATAAGGCATTTGGCGACTCTTAGAAGGCAAAATCTCATGAAATTGTAGTGTGCTGGCTGTGTCTTGGTTAATTTGGATTGAATGGAATAAGCAATGTTCGTAAAATCGCTAGGCGGTAGGTGGGCAGCAGGCAGGGGCCTAGCGCCTAGAGGAGTAATTGGGACCTAGGCCTATTTTTTGTTTAATAAATTATAAATTTATACCAAAATCATGCAAAATAAAAGGATATATAAATTAAGATAGTGAGGAAAAATAAATTTATAATAGTACTACAAAGAAAAATACTTGAAATAAAAGGCTAGGCCTCTAAGTCTAACTCTTCCTCCTCTCCATATCAATCAAAGACTCTCGGTATCAGACTCAAACTCAACATCCTCGTCATCTCCCTTTCCTTCGCGGGTCACAGGTGGGCGAGGAGGATGTGACCTGGTGGTGGTCGTCACAGGTGGAGGCTTGGTGGTGGTAGTCTGTCGTAAGAGAGAGAGAGAGGAGGGGACGACTTAGAGGAGAGAGAGGCAGCGTGAGGTAGATTTTCTTTAAAGTCAGGAAAATTATTATTATTATTATTTTTTAAAAAAGGACCTGTCTCACCCTGGTGCCTAGACGCACCCATGCGCCGTCTAACTCCGTGGCGCTGCCTAACTCCGTGGCGCCTACCCCTAACAATTAGGGTGAAATCGCAGCGGTGTCCTCCCGCCTAGCGCCTAGGTGGCCGCCTAGGCCAATTTTTCGAACACTGGGAATAAGAGGAATTTTGAGAATCATAGTTGGCATGGAGGAGGTGTTATGGGATAAAGTCAATTGGGTTTTCTCTGTCCTTCAATGTCTCCAGGATATTTCATTCTTCTATTTTTGCAAGTTGGACTGCAGCTTTCCTGTAAGAGATTTCGTTTTTTGGTGTTTTTGTTTCTGTTGGACTGCAGAAAATGTGTCTCAGTTTCACTTTTACGTATTCTTGTTATATTCCTGTGGTAGTCTAGTCTGCAAGTTGGTGTACTTTAGTTTTCATCAGGCATTTTGGGTTAATATAAAGTGCAGTGAAACTGAGAGCCAGTCTCTGGTTGAATTCCTTTGGAATGCATGAACAGGAGCGTTTTGCCCTCGGTAATGGAAAATAACCATCAATGGAATATGCTCTTAGTGTAATCATTTTATTATTTATATTAGGCCCAAGTTTGATACTGGATCTGTGCTACTTATTGTATTTCTTTTGTTTGTATATTTCTTCAATATAGTCAAATTTGGTATTGTGTTTCAGTAACCTGTGGAGGTCTACCTCTGAAGAGAAGAGGGAGTTGGAACGCGTTGAAAAACCAATGTATAATTCGGTTCGTCGAGCAGCTGAAGTTCATCGCCAGGTGCAGTTTTACTATGTGAATGTACTACTGCTTAAATTAACATAACTTGACCTGGGAAAGTAAATCAGCTGGAGGCTTTGTTTACTTTTAATTAGGTTCGGAAATACATCAAGGGAATTTTAAGGCCTGGAATGTTGATGACTGATTTGTGCGAGACTTTGGAGAACACAGTACGGAAGTTAATATCCGAGAATGGTCTGGAAGCAGGCATTGCTTTCCCCACGGGATGCTCTTTGAATTGGTAGACCTTTTATATTTGCCACCTGTGAATTTAATTTCTTCTATTGTTCGCCACATAATTCTATTTGTGTTCATTCCGCTTCTTATTGTCAGGGTTGCTGCTCATTGGACCCCAAATACGGGCGACAAGACAGTGCTTCAGTATGATGATGTAATGAAATTGGATTTTGGAACTCATGTAGACGGTAATTCAATCTCTACTTCTGTGTTTTAAATCCTGTGGAGAAGTCAACTCTTGGTGAACTCTAGTACGCATGGGCAAGTTGTCAAGCATGAGTTGTTGTTGACTTTACAGGATGTATAGTTGACTGTGCATTTACAGTAGCATTCAATCCTATGTTTGATCCACTGCTTGAAGCCTCACGTGAAGCAACAAATACGGGTATCAAGGTACTATACCGCCCCTGTTAAAGGTTAATTGCTTAAATACACTTTTTTATCCTATAGTTTGGATAAGTATCAATCCAGCAAATCTACTTATAATTTCCATGTGACCCTAATTCTTTACAATTGTATGGTTCGAGTCCAAAATTATTGCTAGTAAGTTTGAAGATTGTTGTTGTGACTTTGAGGATAGGATCTTTGAGCTGATAATAGAGTGTGACTTCAAATTTTATGCAAATGATCATAAAGTGAGACTGATAAGTATCTATTACATCTATTACATGATGCAAACACAATTAAGTATCATTCCTCAAGGTTGCATTAATACTTTATACTAATTGAGGTGAAATATATGAGCAATTGTGTCCGTAGTTTTAGAGGCTCTTTGTTATTATTGTTAATTGTAGTCTGTAAATTTTTATAATTGTAGCAAAGCAAGTCCGTTTAATGCTATCACTAGTTGTAAGACAATTGATATATATTTCCTTGAGGTTAAATCATTATTGATAATTTCAAAATATCTATGAGCACATTACCTCTTACGAAACCCTTATGCAGAAGTGACAAGAAAGAAGAAAAGAGAAAGAAGAAGCCAATACTTTAGTTATTTCAATTCACTAATAGTAGTTCTTTGTTGAGCTAATTACAAATTACTACCTGAGTTTTGGGGTGTTCTTCAAAGTGGGGGATACAATTTCAATTTTTTCACATTGCAACCTATTTTATCAAAATTTTAGACCTTCGGGTGGTTATTAGTTACATTGCTGACATAGCAGACGAGAGACCTATTTATGGACTGATGTCGAACCCAAACTTGTGATACATAGCACTTGCCTGCTTCAAGTTGCCAAACCTTCCCCTTTGTCATGAGTGTATGCTGCTAATCATCCAATCTCCTATATTAAGAGTTCTAATGGTTTTTAATTACCAATTAGCTGCTCTTCATTTTCTAGAGTTCACCATCAAAGACTTTTCATATTTTTTGGAGTTCTCCATCAAAGACTTTTGGTCTCTCTCTTGCTGGAGTTTTCTAGAAGGCTTTTGAATTTTCTCTATTAATCTACTTAGTGTCTTTTTAGATCCTCTAATAAAGTCTTAGTGCATGCACTCAGAATGATTGGAGTTACCCAACTTAGGTTTTTGTTAGGAAAATTGGAAAAGGCTTTGTAGTTGAGTCTTAAATGCTTGTCTTGGCTATAAATATATGTAAGTGCTTAGGCAAAGGCATGAACTAAAAGAATAAATTAGTTATCAGAAATTTTCTGGTCTACTTTCCTGTGATAGGAATTTTGGTGTGAAGCCCGTGTTAAATAACTCGCCTTCTAGATCTTGTTCTTTGATGTAATCGACGGCAATAGACTAAACTAGCAAATATTAAAACACTTAGAAACACACAAGAATTATACTGGTTCGGCAGAACTTTTGCCTACGTCCAGTTGTGGTTTCTCTAGGTAGAGAAATCACCGCTCCTTTGATTAATAATAGAGATTACAGAACTTTTGCAACCCTAGAACTAATCTCAAAACTCTTGGCTGTCTCTGGCTGTTTTTCCTCTCCTGAAAATAAGCCTTGTCACACTTATTTATAGATATAGAGTTGGCTTACATGTCCCAAGGCTGATTGGATTCCTATTCCTAAGTGGATTAGGAAATTACACTTATCCAAATCCTAATAGACTTCTAGAAATCCAAACCTGAATTGAATAAGGAAAACTGAAATTCTTTCCTAATCCCTCTAGGACAAGAATTGGTATACCTCTAATTTTCCTAAAACAATCCTAAACCAACTAGGACATATTTGACGAGCCAAAATCCTAACAATCTCCACCTTGGTGAGTCAAACCAAGTCTTGATCGTTGCACCCCAGAGTATCTTTGAACCTCCTTGAAGCAGCTCTGGAAATCTTCAAGAGTCTTCACCTTGGCAATCTTCTTCTTGCCTCATTGCACCTCAAGTGAGGAGGTGCTCCACTTTAATCAATCAACGAGATTGATCAAGTTCAAGCAATGCTTGAACTTCTTGGCCGGCACTATCTTTGTAAGGAAATCTGCAGCATTGTCATCTGTATGAATCTTTTCAATCCAAATCTCCTTAGACTCCACCCAATTTCTGATTCTGTGATATCTTGCTTCAATGTGCTTTGATCTTCCAGAAAAAACTTGATTCTTTGCCAAGTGAATGGCACTTTGACTATCACACTTCAGCTTCACAAAATC